ACCACCCTGCCTGACAAGATGCAGAATGACTAGGGTGCGAGTGAATATATGCTCACCATTGACATAGATCTTGTGAGGGAACACCTTGAGAGTCTGGACACCCACAAATCAGCTGGCCCAGATAGATTGCACCCAAGAATGCTAAAGGAACTGGCAGACATCATATCGTGGCCACTGACAAGGATATTTGAGAACTTGTGGTGCTTGGGCAAAGTACCTGAAGATTGGAAGAGGGCCAATGTGGTGCCTATCTTCAAGAAAGGGAGGAAGGAAGATTTGGAGAACTATAGGCCAATCAATTTGACCTCAATCCCGGGAAAGATCTTGAAAAAAAAGGGAACATTATTGACTGGCTAACAGAAGGCAGCATTCTAGGGGATAGCCAGCATGGGTTTATGGTGGGGCAGGTCTTGCCTGACCAATTTCATTTTCTACTATGATCAGGTGACGCATCGCCTGGACAAAGGGGAAGAGGTTGATATAATATATTTGGACTTTAAAAAAGCCTTTGACTTGGTGTCCCATGGAAAAACTGGGGAATTGTGGCCTCGACTACCCAACAGTCCAATCGCTGGGGAACTGGCTTCAAGGCTGGACCCAGAGAGTGGTAGTTGACAGAACCAAATCAACATGGCACACAGTGACCAGTGTCCCTCAAGGCTCCATGCTCAGACTTGTACCCTTCAATGTCTTTATAAATGACCTGGTCTCTGGTGTCAGAAGTGGACTGGCTAAGTTCGCTGACAACACCAAACTATGGGGAATAGTGCCCACACTGGAGGATAGGCTGGTGATCCAGGCCAACCTTGACAGACTCGCAAGGTAGGCAGAGGAAAACCTGATGACATTCTATACAGAGAAGTGCAAGGTGTTCCACTTTGGGGGAAAAAAAGTGCATCACACTTATAGGCTCGGCAGTGCTACACTTACTAGCACCATGGCCAAAAGAGACTTGGTATGAATGACCACAAGATGAACATGAGCTACCAATACGATACCGCAGTCGGCAAAGCAAATAAAAATCTGGTCTGCATCTACCGATGCATCTCAAGAAAGTCCCAGGAAGTCATCTTCCCTCAGTACTCAGCCTTGGTGAAGCTGCAGCTGGAGTACTGCATCCAATTCTGGGCTCCAGAATTCAGAAAGGATGTGGAGAAGCTTGAGAGAGTCCAGAGGAGAGCCCCACAAATGATCAGAGGGCAAGAGAGCAGGCCTTATGAAGAAAGGCTGAGAGCCATGGGACTCTTTAGCTTGGAGAAGCACAGGCTCAGGGGTGACTTGATAGCAGCCTATAAGTACATCAGGGGTGTGCATCAGGATCTGGGGGAACATTTTTTCACCAGAGCACCCCAAGGAAAGAAAAGGGCCAATGGTCACAAACTCCTGCAAGATGGTTTCAGGCTGGACATAAGGAAAAACTTCTTCACTGTCTGAACCACCAAGGTATGCAATAGAACTTCCCCTCCCCACCTCCCCCCACCCCAGGTGGTGCAAGCACCTACTCTGGACACTTTCAAGAAACTCTTGTATACCTATCTTGCTGGGATCCTTTGACCCTAGCTGACTTCCTGCCCCTTGGGCAGTGGGCTGGACCCAATGATCTTACAAGGTCCCTTCCAGCCTTAATGTCTATTGAATCTATGAAGGGCCCTGAAAATAAGAAGGAGAGGGATAAGACAGGCGGGGCAGGAGACAGAGGACAAGTGGGCTGCCTGAGCCTCCTAGATTTATTTTTCCTGTTGTAGCAGTGGGAGGGGGACAAATTCAAGGCAACCCTCCAATTAGTAGATTCTATACCTAGAAAGCTATAACCAATTTATAAATTTTTCATATATAGAATCTAATTATTGGGAGGTCATCCTATATTCAAGTAAATACTGTATGTAGGAACCAAGTTAAAGTCCCATTGTAGAACTGGATTGCTAACATGGGAAAATACTTTTGCCAAGCCCTTGAGAAACCTAAGTTTGGTTGGGTGAGAGAAAACTCATCAAGAGCAGCAGCAGCAGGCAGGTGAACTTTAAGTGAACTGATAGAGCAGTATTTTTGAGTGCCAGCAGATACTTCAGTATGACTAGACTGGCAACTGGTTAGGTATAATGGCCTTTGCTTGACGTATGAATGGAAAACCTGGTCCGTTTCATAAGGTATGTTCATCTATCGGTAAGAAAATCTCTGACTTGAGTAGAACATTATTGCTGTATGTGAGTGGGCATCCTGGCTGTGAGATGGAGTGCAGGTCTAGGTGAAGCTTTCCACCTTGGGTCAGCTGGTCTAGGACCAGTGCCAGATTCCTGGAATCGATCCCTCACAGGTTTCAGTAGGAGGTTCTGTTTCCAGAAATGCCTCAGTCCTGCCAGTGGTAGCAGAATTGTCCATTCTTAGACCTGCTTCACTTCATGGAATAGCTGTCGAATAGATGTATGGACAGGAAGGCTTGCGGGAGACATGCTAATCAGAGGATTTGAACAGCATCTGACAGGGAGCCAACGAAAGAGGCCTCATGGAGGAGAAGGACTGGTACTTGTTGATTTTGGGTACAAAGAGGTTTATTTTTGGGAAGCCCAAGTCAGAGAGACTGGACCTTAAGACTGACTTCTTGGTCTCCTGACTATGGTTGGTATAAATGGTGGAGATGTTGCATGTTTTTTCCCAACTTAAATGGTGAGTGTCCATCACTAAGGTCACACAGGTGGGTGAGGAGGTACAAAAACATGCACTTGTGCACAGATCCTGCAGATGAGCCAGGGAGGCTAGTCCCATACGAGGGGTCGTCTGTCTCCTTCATGCTTGGCAAGACTCTCTCAGGGAGAGTAGATGGGCGTATCCAGGTTTGTAAACCTCTGAGGTGAAGTCTAGTATGCAGTATCACAAAGGCACAGGAGGCCATGTGTCTGAGAGTGGGCAGACAAATCCTTATGGTTCTAGTTGGGCATATCTTGATCCATGGAATTAGATCTCTTAGTGCTTGGAAGCAATCTTGTGAGAAGTAAATCCTTTCTGTCAGAGTCCTAAGTGGCTCCTAATAGTTTGAGTGTCATGATATTAGGTCAGGATCCTGGACCCAGTTGGATCCAATCAGATCAGGACAAGTCATCCGCTGAACAAGTGGTGCCTGCAGCAAACCCAGATCAGCAGCTTGGTCCCAGCTCGAAAGATTCAATTTCGGTGGGATGGTAAAGTCATTCCTTATACCAACAGCATGAGCCCCTGAGCAAAAGATAACAAATATGAAGGCAGAGAAGCTGTACCAAGCTTTCTGGTATCTGTTAGATCAGTCTAAAGACTGATGCTAAAATATCTGTAGTTGCCATGGGCTGTGCAGTGCTCAGGGCAGAAGCACAGACACTTCTTATTCTTGGCCTTTTTCAAAACCTAAATTGCTTCTGCTGATTCCAGGTAATGATACTGCCTGACTATGAGCTGCTTTCTGCAAGAGCCACTGGGGGCTGAAGAATCTGATACTGGAGGTTTTGAGAAGTGTAAGGAGCTGTGGATTGTTTGAGTCTTGGAATTTCAGTGTGAGCCTGTAAAGGCTGAAATCTGGATCAGTCAGATGTGGAAGAAGTAGACTTCTGTAAATGACCTTTGGTAGAAAGCCTTTCTCTAGAGCCAAAATAATACTATTGGAACCATTTGCTGGCACCATTGATTAGACAGTGCCGGTCTCAGTGGTAACAAGGAGGAAGGAGGTTTCTGAGATACGATGCTGAAAGTTGCAGAGATCTCTGTACTGTTGGGCAGAATCTCTTGTCCATGGTTGGGAGACTGAGCGTTAGGAGGTGTTCAAAAGCAACATTATAGAGCTTCGTCTCCCCCCTCCCCCCGCTTCCTTATGGGTGTAAAAGTTAAAGCTCTAACAGCCCCCCATGGGAAGAGGAGGAAGAAGAGTTCAGGATTGGATTTCCTCAAGACAGGAAAGGCACTTGTATCTCTATCTGAAGTTGGTCTAACACTGTAGCAGGATTGACATTTGTCCAAAGCCTGGCAAGTGGGGAGTAGTCATGGATATAGGCATTATCATGTACCTGTTTTTTTTTCACTCCAAATAGAAAAAAATAAGAAGGAAATACAAAAGAAACCTTCTATCCTGCTTAAGAAAAGAGGTAGAAAAAATTGTCTCAATCTGACAGCAGTATTTGAGTTTTCAGACTGTTTCCAGATCTTAGCCTTCTCACCCTTTCCTTTTAAAGTGTAAATTACCATTGCCTGGCCCATAGGCCCATGCAGATGTGATCTGAGGCCACTGAGCACAGTCATTTGGGATGCAATGTCTCAGGAACTACCTTGTATGAATAGGAGAGGAACACTGAACTTAATTACTGTCTTATTGCCTAATTCTGATCATACTATAAAAAACAGTTAATGATCTGTTTGCACCTATGGCTACAGTCCATACAAACTTATAAAAATGGTAAAACTAAACACAGCTTATTATTAGCATCAATAGAGATCCCAGACATCATAACAATAAATCCAACTGGGGAAACCTGCATGACATCCCACAAATCACCCCAAAATATTGAGAGTTTCCAACACAAACATTTCAGGGTTTCCCCCGGGAAAAAAATATCTATCTTTCTCCATAGTGGTGCATAACTTACTGGACAAGGCACTCCCTTAGAATATGAGACACCATTTCAAGCCCCTTTTCTACCCAAGTACAGACAAGTCTCTTGAAGCTGCATCTCTCGCTGTGAAGGTACTTTATATACAAGACTACTAGATGTACTGGCATCTTAGCTAATGATATATCTGTTCCTTGACCAGCTCCAAGGTTCTGGTGCACAATTCTGAATGAAGTGTGAATTATAAAAATCCTTAATCGAGAGTCAAGCCATCTAGGCCAGATCACATCTATCTGGAAGTTTGTTAGTGTGTGAACATGTCTTCTTCCCTCTTGAAATAATTAAGCACTCAGACAGAAGAGAAATGTGGACATTTTTCATTTCATGTTCATTATTAAATTCTTATCTTTTGTTTTTTCTTCTCCTCCTCAGCCCATCATCCCAATGTATACTGAAAATATTCGGGAAGCATATATGATGCCTAAAGAAAGGAGTAAGAGGCATTTAAAATTATATATTCTGTTAGAGCATTTTTCACTTTTTCATCTCAAAATATGTTTCCTAGAAATATGTATTCTTCTATTGTGGTTTTAGTTTGCTCCTGATTGTGTCGAAATGGAAAGTGTCCATGGATTGTCAGACATTAATGTGCATGTCCATGATTTGCCATAGGCTGCTGACAGACATTCCTTTAAAGGCATGATAAGAGATGTGATCCATATTCCCAACAGTCATGCCTCCTTCCATGCCACACGTGTGCAGCAGGACATGTGATATTGGGATCAGGGATCAGATCTCAATTGTGTTCTACATGCCATTGCAGGGGGAGACTGGGATTGTGATCTTGGGATCCCCCAGCCCTGGCAAGTTGAAAGCCAGGTGCTTGATGATCAGCTGCTTGTTAGCTGGATTGGGATCACACTAGGGATCCAACTGGTTCTCGTGCGCTTCCCAGTCAGCCAATGGTCATAGTCCAGCATGGGTTATACTGGGACTGGTTCAAGTTCCTGTGTGGTCCTGGAGCCAGCCAACCAACAGTTGATGGTCAGCTGGTGGGGACATATTGGAACTGATTGAAGACCTCAGTGCAGTCCTAACCCCTGCCACATGGCCAAATTGGCATGATGGGACTCATCCCCTTTCCCATCCAAATATTACACATATATTGTGTAATATTTTGAGGGTTGATTTCCATTTTCGTTGTGTCATTAATTGCCTGAATATGTAGCTGGGTTACTATTTAAGACAGGATTAACAGGCTAATCGTATCTTCGGTTTCAAGGTGAGGCTCTGCCCTGAAGGCCTGTGGCTTAATGGTGACAAGAGAACCATTAAAGCAAGTGCTTCCATTTACTTGAGGGTGGAGTACAGATGGTTTTGTGAAGATTGGGACATAGTTTTTTCAGGGGAGACTGTGAAGGAGATTGAATCCTTGTTAGCTCATCATGACATGAAAAATCTCAGGTTTATGTGGGTGCACAGTTTCAGGGCAAACCTCTCTGGATTGCATTGAATTGGGAAGAACTACGGAAGGTGACCTGGTTTGACTTGGTGAGTCAAGTGGCTAAAATAGTGATTCTCAGCCAGGGTGCTGGGACACACTTAGTTACCAGGAGAATCTTTAAAGGGTGCTGCAAGGTATAGGGAAGTGAACCAAGTCTGAGGAAATAAGGAGATAATCTCAAACTCAAGCTTGTCTGGGCCTGGCAGTTTACCTGCCCCTACTGCCTGGCCCCTCTGCAAAGCGTTAAGCCCTGTAATAATAAATGCACTAGGTTTTTTTTAAATGTGGTGCTGGTCAATTTATAAAAGTTAAGGATGGGAGTCTTAAGTCTAAAAATTTTGAGCGCTGCTGCGCTGCAGCTAGAGTCAGTACTATTGGATTATGAAGATGCTGAAATGAAACTCAAGGAGCCTTTGGGTTAAAATACACAGACTAGAGGTTAAGAGGTGAGTGAAATAATTGAATCTGATGAAGAAAGTTTTCACTTTTTCCTGCCTTTTGATTGTGAGGTAAACATTTAATTTTGGGTAATTTGTCAGCTCTGTTGGTTTTTGTTTTTTAATTTAATATATGTTTATTTCTCGAAAGCCTTTATTAATTTTAATTTAATGCACAGGATTAATTAGGTGGCTATATGAAACTTCTCGATTGCCAATCATCTCACCACATGGAGGGTTTCCAGTCAAACTTTGCGCACACGTTGGAGAACCCATCCCATATGATCCAAATATAACTGCTGAAGAACTAGCTGAAAAGGTACGTTGGTTCCTCTAGCAACATCATATCACCCTACATCTTAATTTTTTCTTATCTTCAAATGATTATTTCAAGTTCATTTATGTCTTCATTTTTCTTTTTATTATGGATTTTGTTTTAGAGTTTGAGTTATGGGATGCATCAGGGCTGTCCAACTGGTGATTCATAGGCTGCCTGTGGCTGTGAGGGATTAATTTGCTACTGCCTGCCTCCTGCCCAGGTGCTGCTCCCCCTACTACAGGAGAGGCTGCTGTCACCAGGATCACCAGGTTCTTCCTCCCTCTGCCTGCTTTTGTTTCCTGCTCCCACTGTTGGAGGTGGGTCAAGACAGGAAATCACTGCCATTGGGCTCAGGGAGCCCAGGCTCAGGGTTCCTGTACTGAGAGGAGGGGTAACCTGTATGGCATTATACAGAAGGGGGGGCATGCACTGTAGCACTTAGCAGGTGGTTTGGTGGGAGATCCATGTGGTGCATGGACCCTCAGGATGCACAGATGCAGCTTGCACTGCGTGTGTCCTCTGGTCATTTTGAAGCTAGGCATGTTGATGTAGAACTCACAACTCGTCAGAGGTTGGAGTGGGCCAGGGAAGTTATACAGATTGAACCATGGCACACCTGTCAATTAGAGATTAAGCAAAGCTTTATTGGCTAAACACATACAGCTCAACAGCAATGCTACACATGTGTTAAAGTGAATTTCATTGTGCTGCAACAATCCTGGGTGGGTTTAATGAGAGCCCTTAGTCAGCTGGCCATGTTGGGGGCAAGGTTCCCTGGGTCCCTGTGTCTCTGCACTGATTTGATGCTTCTTGGGATGCAGTCCAGCAGAGAGGGAGAAACACAAACACACTGCTGTCCTTTGCTGTCTTTCTATATTTCCAGATGTAACATTACTGTTGCTAGGCAGTTGTTATCCTACTTTATCTTTCAAGGCAGTTTTGTCCTTCTAAGCAATATTTACATCTTCTTCTACACTACACTAAATCTGTAGTGCCAACTTTCGACCCTACAAACCTGTTTTAGTTATTTCCAAGGTTGGATTCTTGTTTTGCCTTTACTAGGATTTTTAGCTTTGAGTTTCTTGCTCTGCCTGTCCCCTGGGCTAAGTGCAAATTGCACATCAGTTATTTGAACCAATCTGGGGTTATTCCCATTCACCCAAGAGGATTCTGGGAGTCTTGTTACTCCTGTTAAGTAGCTACAATGAGCTTGTATTTTCCTTACTACAGGCAGCCATGTAGTACATACTGTACATAGGGCCACAACTGAAGTAGTTGGTTGTGAGCTCTGCCAGCGATATTGTATTGTCAGGTGTTTTGGTGAGGTTCTTTTTCCTGTACTGCTTGAATTGCAAACTTTGCTTTTATTTTTTGGATTCCATGTCTTCTGTCACTTCTGTCACCATAGGTTTGTGGCTGAAAAATTGGTGTTAAGCAGCATGGTTATGAACATTTCCAGGTTACTAGTCAGTGTCAAGATTCCCTAGCAATGGAAAAAATACTTGTAAATACAAATACTTGAAAATACGACTTTCAATCTGTTGAAATTGGCCCCCAACTCCCCTGATGCCCTGACTGCACCCTGAACCATGCTGCTCCACTTCCCTTTCCTTAATCAGGGGAGCTGTTCCAGCAGGCCTTGGACTCTGTAGTTAGTATTAGTTAGAAATGATTTTCCTTTTAATGCTCTCCAAAGCTGAAGGAGCTGCTTGTTGAATTCCATATCTCTGACTTCTGAAAGACTGGGGTCCTGACTTCACAAAACCTTATTTCCAGGCTGTTTCAATGGGAATTAAAAAACCCAAGGTATTAATTAAGTGAAAAGAGGGTACATAGCAATCCTGTTCATAATTTTGCAGAACGCATTATGCAATGCTCATTGCAGCATTACAGCAGTCTTGCTCTCATGCACTTTTTCCAAATAATTTCTACTCTTCCTCAACTCCTCATTTCCAGGTTGGAAAAGGTAATTGGGGTTCTATTATGTGTAGGCTGGCTTAGTGTCAAGACTTTTAAAAGTTCAACTGTCTCTTCCCTTTTCCTTAACAGACAAAGACTGCACTCCAAAATCTGATACAAAGACACCAACAAATACCAGGAAGCACGTGGAAGGCTTTATTGGCACGCTTTGATAAACCACAAAAAGATGATTAGAAAATGTCACCTATTAGTGGCTCATCTATATATATATATATATATATATATATATATATAACCTTCCAAGATCACTGAATGCCACCTGAAGAAAATTATAGGTGGGTTATTTTTCACTTGACCTTTTCTGGGGCTTCCAGTGACTGGGATTACTTCGCTTCTAAAATAGCAAACTGGTACCACTCCATTTTGGATGCAGTGAATTCAGCTAAACTGTCATTATTCACATCTTTGTGTAACATTTTCAAACAAAGCTGCTTCCACCATTTGGCAACCATAGCCCTCCATCCATTGGTTCAGGGTTTCTTGTCCTCCCTGTTCCCCCACTGTTTATCAATTTGCTCTGCATAAAGGATAATACAGAAAATGCCAAGGAAAAGGACTTCAACTCTTAGTGGCATTTCAGGTACTGAGAAAAAGATGCAAAATATAAGATTGAAAGAAATTTATGAAGAGAAGGCACTACATCTTGCGAATAATCATAGAAGAAATGCTGTTTCAAGACCAACCAAAAGTAAAGAAGAACGAGCAGACCGTCTTGCTGCTACTGACATAAGAAATGCTGCCTTAGGAGCTAAAGAAACTAATGTTGAAAAGGTGGAGCATCTTGCAGAAGATAGTCTAAGACATGCAGGCATAAGAGCAACAGAAAGTAATGAAGAAATAGCAGAACGGCACAAGGAAAAATAAAAACCAAAAAACAACAAAGAATGGGTACTTCGCTAGTTAATTATAACATTCAAGATACATGTACTTCAATAACAGTCCTCCTAACATTCATGGTAAAAAAAATAAAAAAAAAAAATGGTTGCTAGTAGATTGTCATTTATGTTGCATATTTAATTTACAGCTGTCTGTATAACCGAAAGTCATTTGGTTGATTATAGATTTTCCTATGTTGTATCCAGGGCCCATTCCTGCAGTTTTTACCCAAGCAAGATTTCTGATGATTTCAGTGGAACCTTGATTGAGTATGAACGGCAGCAACTGGTGGGGAGATTATGCAAAAAGTTTTAATTTTGTCAAGTTAGTGAACCAGAAGCAAAGAGGGTTTGGTGCCTAGCTGTTATTTTAGGTAATTAAGTACAGTGTTTAGGTCCTCAAGATACCCTTCTTAGCCGCAACGTGTTCATGCAAGTGCCTAAGTTTCTATCCATGGGTATGTGCAAAAGGTGTCTAGGTCTCAATGCTGCTGAGCTGCTCAGAGGCCAAACCCCAGGAAGTGTCTCAAAGTGGTGTTGCCAGCTTATTTCACCTGTAGGTCCAATTTGGTAAGCACTGTTTTCAGCACACCTATTTGAGTAAGCATCCCCTAAAATAGTTGGGAATGAGAGACTGTGTGAAAAAGAGTGGTTTTAATAGGGGAACATTAGAAAATACTTATTCCAGAATACCAAGAAAAGTGATATATTGAGCAGTTGCTTGAGATATTTGAGTCCCTGCTCACAGTAAAGCAGAAAAGGAATTTGAAGATACATGCACCCCATCTTACTAATGAGTGCTATAGCACCTAGGTGTACAGGAGTGTGTGTGTGTGTGTGTGTGTGTGAGAGAAGGGAGGTGGGAGCATCATGCTGTCCTCTTTCATAAGGGTTTAGTGACTAACTCTAGTTGAGACTTTGGAAATAGGTGGTTAAGCAGCAGCAAAGGATCGGACCACTTCTCCACTATGCTAGAAAACGTTGAGGTAGCTTCTTGCTCACAATGTTGTTTTGCATATACCCCATTCTTAGTCATCTAGACTCACCATATAATGCATGGGCAGAGTTAGGTGCCTAGCTAGGTCAAGGACTGCAGCAGGGTACCCCTAAAGATTGAGTGGTGCAACCTCCATGTCCCTTTGTTGATGTAGCCCCAAATGCCTAACCATTTGTAAAGGAGGCCGGAGGTAGTGTTGCCTTAATACAGGGGAGGGTAATTATTTGGGATGGAGGGTCACTTAAGGAGTTTTGGTGAGCTGTTGAGGGCTGGAGTGGGGGGTGCTGACCCAGCCTTGTCCACCATCACAGCTATTTACACCACCCGATGTGGCAGGGGAGGGGCTGGGGAGATGCCAATTGATCCGTTCTGCCTTGCACCTATTACTGGGTATGCCAGATGGCATGTGAGAGTGGCCAGGGTCTTCATGGAGACCGGCTCAGGACCCCCATGGGCAGGGCACTCACATCCAGGCAGATGAGATGAGGCCACTGGTGGGTAAGAAGTGGCATCCAGGTGTGGGACAGATAGGTGGGACCAGGGCTGGGGCTGGGGTCACTGGATGGTAACAGCATGCGGTCAGGGACCAGGACAGAGCTGTATTCTACTCCTCACACGTCCCTGGAATGGGCGCTGGTTCCACAGGCACCCTAGGTTAATAATGGAACAACCCTCATTTTCCTACAGATTGGAGCATAAAATGTACTGGAGATGATTTGGAGAGCACATTGAACTTCTTGGTGATATAACCAAGAAGTTCAGTGTGCTTGTAGAATTCCACAGTAGCTCCAAGCACACACTGCACCACGTGGTTGCAAGCAGCAGCACTGAGCACACAGCTCTTGTGATTAAGATCCAATTTCTTGCAAGCTAAATAGAGTCTCTTTATTAGCACACAGAGCTCTGTGCATGGTATGATTACTCCAGCCTTTATCCAGATGGTGAAATGCCCATTGCAAAAATACTGCCCATTTTGTTTTGCACTTTGTAGAAATGCTTGTTTGGGTTTGCATGGAACCCGTGACATTAGATATTAGGGCTATGTGAAGCTTCGCTGGCTGTTTCATTTCAACACTGTTTTGACTCATTTTGAGCTCAAAACAGTGAAATCGAAATGAAATGGAGGTCTTCAAAACAGCCTTGAAACGAAATGAGGGCAGTCAAAACATTTCAAAAGCTTCAAAATATTTCGAGTTTTGAAGCTGAAGCTGTGCTTGCCTGTAGGGAAGCAGAAAGTAAGGAGAAGGAGGGGGAAGAGGGAGGAAGGACTGCTCTCATATTGACTGTGTAGCTGGCCAGTGACTGTCATCCTTCCCTGAGGTCCCTTCCAATCCCAGTGCTCTGGGGGAGGGATGAAAAAATAGCATAAAAGGCAGCATTGTTTGAACTTCCCCGCTTTCTGCCTTGGTGTTAGTTAGTGAGCTGTGTATTCCAGCAGCTCAGCAGCATCAGACAGCAAAGGCTACTAGCACTGATGTTCTGAAGAATTTCCTACTTGCTAGCCTAGCAAGGGGGATTTCAGAATAACTTTTTGGCTTTTTCTATCTTCTGAAAGCTTTTATTTATTATTATATTAATTGATTTATTCTTTTCAATTTTATAATTATATTGGATAGAATTACATTATAGAATTTAATTTAAATAGGAAGGGAAATACATTTATGTTTTAATTCTATACATTTAAAGCTTGCAGCATACATACATTATAGAATTCATATAGGAAGAAAGATATATTTATACTTTGCACCACACAATTGAATTTATATATGAGGAAAGATGCATATACACACACACACACACACACACACACACACACTCACATTTCTTTTTATATATTTCTACTTTGTGCCCCACACACTCACATTATTGAATTTATATAGGAGGAAAGACATATTCTTCATTCATATTTGTTTTTATACATTTCTACTTTGCGCCATATTCACTCACATTATTGAATTTATATAGGAATGCAAATACATTTATATATTTGTAGAAAAGCAAGACATGAAACACACCATGAAGTGTGATGGAAAGGCAGGTGGTGGCAAGCTTTCAGGGAGGGGCAGAAAAGGGGGTACAGGGACAGGTGTTAGTTCCCCCCCTCCAAACTGAGATGCAGCCTCTTTCCTCCAGCTAGAAGGGATGAGGCTTCCACAAGCAGCAAGGAGAGGGGAGCAGTGCCAGTACCACTGCCTATGCCTGAGACAGCATCCCCTCCACGAGCACCATCCATAACCCCCACCACACCATGACAACAACAAGCAGCAGCACCAGCATGACAGCCTCCTCCACCCCCATTTCACTTCCCATGCTGAGCCTTCCAGGCTAGAGGAAGAGCTGGAGCTGGATTTCGGTGCCCTAGCAAGGGAAATTCTGGGGAAGGAGTGGGAATCATCTGAGCTTGTGCTTGACACCCCTCAAGTTTCCCCTAGAGCCAGGTCGTCTTCCCCAGAAGGCACTTTGGAGGAGGTTGATGTAGAGGTAGAGGCAAGTAGCTCAGCTGAGTCTGCTCCTCCTGTTGCTGTGCCTCTGACTGCTGAGGAGGGGGAAAGTGCAGCAGCATCCACATGTGCACCTGCACCCCAGAAACAAGCAGGTAGTGTGGTCTGGGATCATTTTAAGCTGGCAGATGATCCCACGTATGCTATCTTCCTGCACTGCCAAGCCAAAATCAGCCAGGGCAAGGGAACAAAACACCATGAGGAGCACCATGGGGATGCTGATGCATCTCTGCAGGCACCATCCCATTGCCTTTGCTCCTCCTCAGCCTGGCACCAGTGGGAGCATGCCTAAAGGGAAGTCCCCCTCTTGCTACAAAGCCCCCATCCCACCAAAGCCAAGGCAAGACATCCTGGAACAGTGAGGGAAAGGCCAACAGAAAGCGGGGCACCTTGCAAAGGCAAGTGGGATCACCCAGAGCATTGGGGAGATGCTTCCTGTTGGTGGCCAGCCCTTCTCCTTAGCTGAGCGGTCACTGTTCAGGTGGCTCATGGCACTTATGGCCCCATCCTACCAAGTGCCTGCACACACCACCTTCACAAAGTGCCCACATGCACCACCTTCAGCAAGATGGTGGTGCCCTCCCTGTATAAGGCATGCTGGGAGCACTTGAGGGAGGAACTGCAGATGGCAGGGTCACAGGTAGCTTTGTATTTCACTTTGGATATCTGGAGCAGCCAGGGTGGAGATCATGCCTAGCTCTCCCTCACAGGGCACTGGTGTGACCAGTCAGGCCATTGGTGGGCTCTTCTTCAAGATAAGGTGATGGATGAGTCTCATACAGCAACAGAAATCATGGGGGCCACAAACTGCTTGCT